TGTTCTTAGCCAGTGAGTCACTCCTCACAAGGCCTTTAAGAGGTCTGAATCACTCAAATCGCCCAAAAGGAACTGAATTGATTCTTTGGAAATGTAAAATTCTCCTCTGGTTTATATGGGAAGATGGTTAACCAGAATATTAACTAAGCCAGGAGGGCTGCTTCCCAGCACACTTGGGTACATGGGAGTGTGCTGTAATGGCCTTGCGCTAACCATGCTGCCCGGCCGTTAGAGTCATGCCAAGGTCATGCTAACACAGCAAATGGATGCATTTTAATAAACACTGACTTCCCTTGACAGCTCTGGTCGTACTTTTCTGGAAATGTATTTCTAAAATTTCTAATAAATATTGATACTGTTAGTGAAGGAGCATCGTGGTTTCGGCTGCCACCTGCTCCCCGGAGGTGCTTAGAACTTGCGGTTCCAACACGGCGCTGCTGTATGGAGCACAGTGTCATTCTGCATCTGGCGAAGCTTTATAAGTTGTGTTTTAATAATGTCCTCGTGGTGGAGACGTTTGCTTTTGAGTTGCTTTTCTACCCCTCTAGTTGCCCCTCCTTTTCCCTACCTGGAAAATAAAGGGAAGTGATGGTATGCCGAGAAAATTGGGGAGTATCTGATCTCGCCACTTTGTAAGGAATGAAGACACAGGCCCTCAGAAGTAACTCTCAAATCATAGGCAACTCACCGAAGTCAGGACCAGAACCCAGGACTCTGACTGCTTGCTCTTTTCCTAGTCTTCCATCAATACTGACCTCTTAACTTTTTACAAACATACTGAGTTGTCATTTGCCCTCAGGAAACATACACATTTTAAGTGTATTACTTGATGAATTACCACTGGGTGAACATACCTACCATAAGCAGCACCCAGGGTCAAGGAATAGAGCAGGAGCAGCATCCAGAACCCCTAGGACTTTCCATGCACTACCCTGTTTACTTGCCCCAAAGGAGACAACTTTGTTAGCACCGGAGATGTAAAAACTCAGCGGCTCGTTTTGAACTTCTTATAAAGGAATCTTACAGTAAGGCCATACTGTTGGGTGATTCCTCCAGTGGAAAAGTGTTAATGAGGTGACAAAGCATGTGGTATGGTGTGGTACGTGCCCTCGAAGCCCGTGGAAAAGTGTTAATGAGGTGACATAAAAGCATGTGGTATGGTGTGGTACGTGCCCTCGAAGCCAAGCTGCCCCTGCTACTGTCACCTGTGGATGGCTAGCCAGCTGAATGGTGTTTGCCCAGCACAGGCAGGGAGGCTCTGTAGGGATGCTAGGTGTATTGTGAACAAAACAACAGGGTGTCCAAAAATATGTGTACACACTTTAACAGCTGATAGCTCAATTTTGAAAAGGAAATGTATCTTAATAAACACTGCCTTTATAATTCAAAGTATGTTTGTACATTTTTGGGGGACACCCTACATACATTCATTTGATAGCTGCTGCTGTTTATGATGCAAGACATGAATTTATGTCATGGTCTGCTGAATATCCACAGTGATCAGTTTTACTCAGAAAATGTAATTCATGGGGGTTTATTTGTATCAACCAAGCAAGGATTTGGTAAGTGCTTGAATTACATTTGACAAGCTGTGTCCTGTCCCTCCTGTGAGAGTTGAAGGGTATATTGGATTGAGTCATCTGGGTTTTTCTAGATTAGGGAAAGGAGAACTTGAACTTGCTCCTCCAGTGTGGGTAACCACCTAATAAGGCATGGGAAGCTCTCCAGGCCAAAACGAGCCTCTCCTGAGCCATGGCTTTTGGAGGCAGTTTTCTGCCTTGGGCATTCTAGATTACAGACGTCAGGCTCTGAGCCTTGCTCTCTGGGTTCTATTTGGCTCTGCCACCAAAAAGGAAGGCCTAGATTTTTTTTTTCTTTGTTTAAATTGATTTTAGAGCGAGAGGAAGGGAGAGGGAGAGATAGAAACATCGATGAGAGGGAGACATTGATCGGCTGCCTCCTGCACGCCCCCTACTGGAGATCGAGTGGGAAACCTGGGCATGTGCCCTGATGGGGAATTGAACCAGCAACTTCTTGGTGTATGGGTCGATGCTCAACCACTGAGCCACACTGGCTGGGCTAGATTTTCTTTAAATCAGAAGAGAATGCTAATTACCTTGCCTTAAAAAAAACCATTTCAAAACAATGATAAATATAGTGATTAGGGTGAAGAATTTAACTGTTGCAGAAGTACTAACTGCTTTACTTTTTGTTCATGAAATTCCAGAAAATAATCTGAATTATGCCTTGTGTAATGGCCTGTGCACTGAAAAATAATCTCTCCAAATTTCATGGTTCTTGTGGAATTTGTAATTCGTTATGCTGAGACAGATGATACTGTGGAATAGAAGTTAAACTATCACATTGCTGACAGTAGCTGTGTACTCTGGGAGAGGCTACTTAAACTGCTTCCCTACCTGTAATAATCATTCCTATCTAATGGGGTTGCAGCGAGGCTTTAATAAATCACTGTATGACAGGGCTTAGGTAGTGAATACTATAAGGTGTGCTGCTATCCCAGGAGTAAAAACAGTATTGTGTTTGTCCATGTCCTTGTCCCACCAGCACAGTACCCTTCTCTGCCCTTGATTTTGTAGTATCTCCTGCTGTCTTGCATTTCAAAGGTTGTTTTAAGTTTAATAAAACAAAATTAAATTGGCATAAATATGTATGCTGGTCATAATTACTGGGCCAGGAAAACAAACCAGGGTAGGTAGTCAGCAGTTAGGAGGGAGGTGGGAGAGCAGCCCAGCAGATCAGGGCTGGTTCCTGGTAACCTGAATTCTCAGATTCTAGGCCTCTCGTTACTAATTGTGATTCCTAGGCTAAGTCTGTTTAGCCACCACCCTCCCTCTGCCCCACCTCCCTCCGTAGATAACCACCCTCCTGGACTTGATGTTTATCATCCTCCTGCAGGTCTTTTTTTTTTTTTTTTTTAAACTGATTTCAGAGAG